CTCAGACAATTCAAAGAAGATTTGCTTATCTATAGTTGTTACAAAGTAGCACCTACAGAGTATGTGGCTCATGTCGTAGACTGGTCTAAAAAGATTAACATTGTATCTCTTTACCTTCCTGTAAATTTCCTCTCTCACCCCCTCCCTTGAATTAGCACAATAAAAGAGGACAGAAAAAAGCCTGGGGGGAAGAGAAAGGAGGAGGAGAAGCAGAGAAGCCCGGACATTTTCCATCTGTTCCAGGGCAGCCAGGGAATCCCATCTCCCCCAGGCTCAAAGTGTTGCCTCATTTTAAGATCTCTTGTGTTTTGTGTGTTTTATTTCTTGTGCTTGCTTGGCAATCACTCTTGTGAGAGTCTTGCCTAGCCTCACCCTTGTGAGGGTCCCACTCTATCTCGCCCTTGCGAGGGCTATTTTCTCACCCTTGCGAGGGTTACTTTAAACTTCGTCCTTGCGAGGACTAACTCACCCTTGCGAGGGTTATTCTCTGAGAGGAATTCAGCAATCAACCAGAAAGCCGAAACAACAGACCGGTCGCTCAACGCGACAAGTGGGGTGTGGAGGGAATGGGGATTTTGCACTATCATAACTCCAGGAGTGGGGAGGGAATGGAGATTTTACAGTATCCTTCCCCTGCCACACCCACCAAGCCACATCCACGAAGCCACATCATACCCACCAAGCCATGCCCACGGAACCAGTAATAAAAAAGATTGAATCCCACCACTGGAGTGCCTTTTGCAGCACTGCTGTAACTTCAAACCATCACTCAGTGAATGGTTGTAAACCATTCTACCTGCAGAAAACTGACATCAGACTTCTCAACAGATGCCGTCGACTGAACTAAAACCGCTGACGTCCACCTATGTTTACAAACTAGGGACTAATAGGGACTATTACCCTTCACAAGTTCAGAATACCCTCAGTGATAGAACTGTTAACTCTTATAAAAGGATGCACATTAAAAACAAAGGCGTTGCAGTGGTGGTATTCCAATTTTTTTTACTACCGGTTCTGTGGGCATGGCTTGGTGGGCATGGTGTGGCTTGGTGGGTGTGTGGCATAGCTTGTTGGACATGCCAGGGGAAGGATACTGCAAAATCCCCATTCCCTCCCCACCCCACTAACCTGCTTTCCAGCTCCATTCTCCTGTGCAGGAGAGCCAAAGAAGACCCAGTCGATCAGCTGGGACTCAATGGGAGGCAGAGAAGAGATGGGGGCGGGGCCAGTCAAAGGTGGGATTGGCCAGTTCTCCGAACTATCGAAAATTTTTGCTACCAGTTCTCCAGAACCAGTCGGAACTGGCTGAATACCACTTCTGGGGCATTGTTAAATCACTGCACACTGACTTCAATCACGGAAAGCTCGGTCATGTCTAGTTTCTTGGTACTGAGGGCCTTGTGGTATGGATTTTGTAATACCTTTATTGTCATTGCATTCCAGCACAGTGCCTCAAATACCACATCACAATCACACTACAGAGTATTTAAAAATTAAAATAATTATAATTATAGGACTAAATCACAAATGCACTGTTTGATTCAAGACAATTACTGCCTTGGAAAAGAAACTGTTTCTCAACGTATTAGTCCTCATTTTAAGACACCTATAACGCCTCCCTGATGGTAACAGTTCGAAATATGAATGTCCAGGATGAGAATGGTCTGTGGAGATTTTTAGTGCTCTAGAGAGGAGTCTGGTCTTCGCAATCTCTTCCAGAGAAGAAAGAGAGCAACCGACGATTTTTTTGCTGTGTTTATAACTCTCTGGAGCATTTTCTTATCTACTGCAGAGCATCCAGCATGCCACCCTGTTACACAGTATGCCAAAATGCTCTTGATGATAGAACGGTAAAAAGTAACCAGCAACTTCTCAATCCCGTTTTTTTCCCCAATTTTTCTGAGTTTTTTCCCCAGGCCTTCCCATCTCTACTTGCAACTGTTTTTGTAGAACTATTGTGTTGGTTAACTAACACGGGGTCTGCTGTATTTTAATTGGGCTTATTTCTTGTTTCCTTTCAAATATATTGCTAATAATTTGGAATAAGACAACCTTCAGGATTAATGTAAAAAAAGACTTTTCTTTCAGAGACTGGGACATGTTTGATAAATTGTCAATAAAATACTTTTGTTTTCTGCTATTTCCAAGCTTTGACAAACAAAGCAACTGTATGACACTGAAAACAACACCGTGAATGTATCGTTACCAATAAATTAGTACATGTGATGACCTGGGACATGGCACAAAGGTAACACAGTCAAATAAGCAATAAAAGTCCCTTTATTAACTCCAACTTTGTCCCCAGTGTCCAGGTTACCTTCAGCTGGAGAAAAGCCCTCCCAGGAACAGCCTTTGACTGTAGAAAATTAAGTCCAAAACAAGGTACACACAAAATAGTAACTTAAAATCCAAAGAAACCAAACTGAAGTAATTAGCTTGGCAGGGCAGGTGCAGGAATTTCAAACTTGAAAGCATGGCTAAACTCACACAGTTGGGAAGACGCCCGGAACACAGATAAGCCACGACAATACAAGATAAAGTCACATTTGCTCCCAACAGCTTGCCTTTTTTCATACACTGTTCCCAGCTGCAGCTAATGAAGGGAATCAGGGCCCTTTCCTCCCCCTTAAGCCACACAACCCACATTACTCTCTTCTCCATTCCTCCCTGTGTGCCCTAGGATGAAGAGTGGATGGGCCTGGATCTTCCTCTGAATTCCCTCTCCCTTGCTCTACCTCTCCCCTGCTCTGCCCAGCCGGACCTTGCCCTTCCCCAGTTTCCTCCACAGACAATGGAGCCACACTCCCACTCCCTGTCAGTTGTTTGGCTTCCTACTCAGATTCCGACAGGGGCATGACAGTACATGAGAATATTGAATAATTAAGATTGATAATATGCATTAATACCAAATGATGTAAGAAAGTTAATAACATTAATGTGAAATTATTGTCATGTTTCTTTTAAAATGCATAACACTCTGAAACCACACTGTTCACACAATGATGTGTTTATAGAAATAAAAAATGTACTTTAAAAAAAAGGAATGTATCTTTAACAATATCCATTCCAAAGTCTTTTACTTTGCAAATATATATTTTTTTGCTTTTATTCAGAATACGACGCTCTTTCAATTCTTATGCTTACATAGCATTGGATGTCTAAGTTTTCATGATATAACTGGATAGATGATTTTTTTCCCCTGATTCAATCGACTTTCACTTTGAAGTACAGGTAGTCCTCAACTTTATGACCACAATGGAGCTCCAAATTTATGTTACTAACAGAAACAGTTGTTAAGTGAGTTTTGCCCCATTTTATGACCTTTCTTCCCACACTTAAGCAAATCATAGAAGTTGTTAAATTAATAACACGGTTGTTAGGTGAATCTGGCTTCCTCATTGCTTTTGCTGGTTGCAAAAGGTTATCAATGACCCCGGGACACTGCAGTGGTCATAAATATGAGTCAGTTGTCAAACATCTGAATTTTGATCAGGATACCGCAATGGTCGTAAGTGTGAAAAACCTTCATGAGTCATTTTGGGGGGGATGTTGTAACTTTGATTGGTCACTAAATGTTGTAAGTCAAGGACTACCTGCATTTCTATAGTGCAAACTATAAAAAGAAATGTAAGTCTATGTTCCAGGTTGTCTCTCTTATTAAATGGGAATCCTTTTTTTTTAATCTTGGAGCTTTCCAAAGAAATTGTAAATTAAATGGTCTTCCTGTTTTAACTGAGATCTGGCATATGGAGGCACAAATCTTGAACCAGATTTGGCCATCGGTACAGAACCATTATGGCAGGCGCACAACATTCATTGGGTACTTTCTGTATCCAGAACCATTCTTAGTAATCCCTAGAGATGCCTGTTTTGTACATCACAATTATCTCCATGCATAAATCAAGGCTCATATGCCAATAGACATTTCAATGAGTTTACTTAGAAGTTTCTCTGAAGGAAGATCTGGAATCTTTTCTGTCATGATTCATATTTTCAGCCACTAAGCCCTCTGTGATGACCCAGGATGGGATACAAAAGCAACCAAGTCACAAAAACAGGTGAAGTCCCTTTAATTCCTTCAACTTGGCTTTAGAGGTCCAATTATCATTGACTGGAGAAAAAAACTCCCCTACAAGCAGTTGTGAAAAGGAAGATTCCAACTCAGAATACATATAAATTATAAATATAAAAAACAACACAAACCACACTGAAGCAATTAATGAGACAAGGCAGGATAAGGGCTTGAAGATGTCCACAGGTATCAAAATACACACACTGGGAAGGACGTCAGAACTCAGATAAGAACTAACAGACTAGAAATATTTTCACACTTTGCTTCCAGCACTGGCCCATGTGCAGTTTGTCCTTTTAAACAGTTCTCACAGCTGCAGCCCATGAAGGGAATCAAGGCCCTTTCCTCCCCTGAAGACCACACCATTCACATTTCTCCCTTATCCACTCCTTCCTGCGTGCCCTAGGATGAAGAGGGGATGGGCCTGGGTCTTCCTCTGAATGCTCAGCTGGCCTGTGCCCTTCCCCAGTTTCCTCCACAACCTCTGGAACCATACTCCCACTCCCTGTCGGCTGTTCCTCCTCTCCCTCGGAGTCCGATTCTAACAGGGGCATGACACCCTCCTTAAAAAGAAGAAAAATTAAGGCAGTCAATTCTAGAGCAGATTTCTTACGCAAAAGAAAATCCAAGCACTTTTGAACATTCCTCTTCAAACAAAAGGATTTGGGCAAGCCAAAGTTTTAGTTAAGATTGTTAAGATTTTTCTAGAAAGATTGAGGGGTTGACTTGGGCATTCTTTATGAATTGAAATGTCTGTTGGCATATGAACCTTGATTGAGATAAATGTGATATACAAAACATTGACATTTTGCTTTGATTGATGCTTGATTGATGTTTAAAGGAAAAAAAGGGTAAGATTAATGCAATTTACAAAACTAAAGACTAAACAGCCATAAGAAAGTTAAAAAAAAAAAACCTGGGTACTTACACGGTAAAATGGTAAATGAAACATTTGCATCCTGTAGGCCTCTCCAGGAAATTGTACACATCTCCTTGCATGCTCGTTTTTGTTAAACGTGGGCCATAAAAACATTTAGGAGAGGAACACTTTTGCTGAACATCTTTGCGTCCTATGGATTCACTATTTGTTTGGAAAGCAGAATCCGGTGTATTGTCCTCTTCAGGATCTGGAAGAACCTTTGATCCATCCATCACCAGTGAATCCGGATTAGGAGCCACAGTAGAATACTCCATATTGTTGAAGGTTGTCCTCATTTCTAGCCAATTTGAAGCCTTTGGGGAGCCACTGAGTTTTCCCACCTGAGAACTGGCACACCTGGACAAGTGATGCCTTCTTGGGTGTCCACCAGTTTCACCATTAGCATAGGACATTCTGGGATCAAGTCAAGACTCGATCCCTTGATCAACATTTAAGACAATCAAAGCATGGTAAAACCTTGCTGCTCCTTGTGGACTCCAACCAAGCATTTTTATCAAATTTTTCTACAGTGCCCAAAGATCCATCACCTGTTGTCAGGAGGCTGAAAGTAAACCACAAGAAGATATTTAGATGCTGGAAGTTGAAACCAATAGATGGTTGCTTCAAAAAGGGAGACGCATTGATGCCCAGTTGCCAAAACAATTTACAAAATAACAGAATAATCAAGTTGGAAGGGACCTTTGAGATCTAGTTCAACCTCCTATGTAAGCATGTCCCAAATGTGCTTTTTTCTTTTTTCAAGAGGCAATTGGACTTTCTGTTTTTTCTTTGGAGACGTTTTGCTTCTCATCCAAGAGAACATTTTCAAAGAAAAAGCAGAAAGTCCGATTATCTCTTGGGTGGGAGAAGGCACCTTTGGGACAACTATGACCTGGATGACTGAGAATCTCCATAGATTCTCTGTGCCATTTCAGACAAGTGATAATCCAGTCTCTTCTTAAAAACTTCCAATGATGAAGCATCTTCATCTTCTGAAGGCAACCCCTTCCATTGATTTGATTGTTCTCACCATTAGGAAATTTCTCCTTATTTCTAAGTTGCTTTTTTCCTTGATTAGTTTCTGTTGCGTTGTGGGAAAAGAGACTCGAGACCCAGTTGACCTTTTTTCCCTTTTTATTTTCTTTCTAGTAATCACATGCGGCGAAACCGCGGCAGCCTTTTTTATAGCTGGCTGCTCACGGCTCGTGGCCAATGGCGGCTCTTCAAATCTTCCGCCACCACGGACCAACCTATCATAGGTAAGTATGCAAATATATAACAGTTTCCATCCATTGTTTCCTTTTTTTTAAAAAAAAACAAGTTTTATTGGTTTTTAAAGACAAACAAAAACAAACAAAACATAAAAACATCCAACTTTCTTTCATAAATGTACAAGCAGTATGTCGGTTGGTTTACAAATTTTTTGTGCATCCATTTCATAGTCTCAATTACAGTTACATTGCATAATAACTCATATTATCAATCAAAAATTGAATACCCTAGTATCACTATTAATCAGTCATTTGACTATAATTTTGTTCATTCATACTTTGCGAGATAACTATAATTTACTTAGTTTATTTTATAACAATTCATATAATCCTCCCAAATTTATCCTAAAAACATTTTATAGATATGACAACAAAAAAAGAAATACATCTTTATATATTCATTATTTTCTAAAATTCTAAGTATTCTATTATTGTATTTTATTATCTAACCATTGATAGAAAGGGTCCCAAATTTTATAAAATTGTTTATCTTCTTGTTCTCTAATTTCAAATGTCAATTTACTCATTTCAGCACATTCCAATATTTTCTTAATAATTTCCTCCTGTAATGGTATTTTCTCATTTTTCCAATTTTTAGCAAATACAATCCTAGCCGCTGTTAATACATTTACAATGAAATATTTTAAATCTTTACTGTATGGATCAGGTAAAATTCCCAATAAAAATATCTCTGGTTTCAAGTCTATATGTTTCTTTGTCATTTTTCCAACCACATGCGGATTTTAGTCCAATATTTTCTAGCGTCCTCACAAGTCCACCACATATGGTAATATGAGCCAGGTATCTGATGACATTTCCAACATTTTTCGGATTTATTCTTGAACATTCCTGCGATTCTTGTCGTGGGAAAATGCCACCTGTAAATGCCACCTTTTTTTCCCATCCATTGTTTCTTGTCTTACCTTCTGATTCTTTGGAAAATAAACAGGACGTATATATTCCCATCCATTATCTACCAAGCTTTCATAACAAATTAATAGATTGCTTAATCAAGAAATAATAAATAGGCACTCAATAAGACTGAATTCCAAATGCACCAAAGGGTTCAGAGACCACATGCTTCCTTGTCAGACAACCCAGATGCTTAAGTATACATGTTAAAATATCGATTTAATGCAGCAAAGAGTCATACAGAAACAGCTTTCCTGATACATTTGGCATTGCCGCAGGCTAATCTGTGAACAGCCTTAAAATTTAAAAAGCAACTGGACATCTTTCAATGATGCTATTTCAATTTATATTTCATAGGTACAAACACAGGCTGCTATATCTGGTGCTCAGATCCACCTAGTTAAAATTATAAAAAATATTTTTTTAAATAACTTTAACTTTAATTTTCAATTTAGTTTAAATGCATCTAATATTTGAAATATTTATAAAAATGTAACTAGGCATACCTGAAAATATATAAGATATTCTGGGCATGTGCTCCCTGTTTTAATTATTGCAAAGATATATACTTTCTCTCTCAGTTTATAAAACGATTGTCATTATTGATATGCTATGAATTGGTAGCAGCTTCTGATGACTTGCAATTCATTGTGTTAGTGGGATTTTTCAATAACCAATTTATTTGGAATAAGGAATATTTTCCCATAGCAAAACTTCCAAAATGATCAATTAATCTTTCATAGATCAGCAAAAACTTAAATAGACATCAAACATCTTCTCCTGTTTTATTCACCTATCCCCAAAGCTACAAGGAATATTCTTTCCCTTTCTTTGAGAAATTATTTTGCCATCTATATTCCCATCCATTAATTAACTGTAATATAGAGAAAAAACACAAGTTTTATCTCCACACACAACTAAAATTGGTGCCTAAACTGTGGTCTATCCAATCTTTTCCAGAGTGAATCATTTCGAATTAAACGTTACAATCACGCCTTTCCTAAACGGATGGGGTGGGATGATTTCAAGACAACATTTCAAACCGTCAAAACATGCTAACTCCCAGGTTTTGTTCTGCATTAAACAGAAACATTTTTAAAAGTTTTGGATTGTTCCCTGTTGCAACTCAACTTACGCTTTTTGTCATACATTCTCACGGCACCTGCAAAATACATCCAGCTCCATTTGCGAGTCAGGAGTTCCTCTTCAGGGAAGAGCACAAGAACAGCTTTTTTTTTCTTCCTTCCCTTGACTTAATATTTATCGCTTCTGGGGGATGAATTTATAAGGGAGCAAATAGGCTCACTTTATTCCCAAACCATCTTCATAAACGTTGTCTCGTGTGAGCCGCGGAATTTCTCACAGGAAAAGCTTCTGCAAATTCACCCTTCCGATAGCGACGCAGACAAAGCCCCAGAGCACCTGGGGGAGTGGAAAATACCTTCTCCTGTTGCCTGTTGCTATTTTCTCTCTGCTCCATCTGGTATCACCCAAGACTGGATGCAGAGTCTCTGGCTTTGTCCTCTGTCTCAGAGTCCCCACCCTCAGACACCCATAAGTCCTCCCCTCCGTTCCCCTTGCTGGGTTTTGTTTGGCTCAAAACCTCCTGGGCACTTGCCCAGACAAATGGGGCTTTATTTCTGAGTTCCTGCTAGCACCTCTTTTGACCCAGCAAGTTCAGGACAAGTGGACTCGATGCCACCTCCTCTGGAGACAGATGTGGTGCCTGCCAAGCCTGGCTAATGCCATTCTGGAAAAGGGCTGAGAATTAAGAGAGAGCTACCGAAACGTAAGCAGAAGTTTGACAAAGTTTTTAATTTCATTTTAATGTTTGCCAATTCATGTGCATTTAAAGTGACAATATTTTTTTTTATTCTATTCCATTCATTTTCAAAGCATGATTGATGATTATATGCTGCGCCGTTTATTTACAATAAGGGAATTTGTAAGTGGTAAAATCAAATCTATTTTGAATACACAGATTTCCTTTCTGTTCTGCAGAAAAGACAAAATCCTACAAGTATTCGGATTCCTGTTCATAGAATATTAAAAAAAAATCATAAGGCTTGGAAGTGTCCTTGGAGATGTTCTATTTAGTCCAAGGGTCTTCATACTTGCCAACTTTAAAAATTAAGTTTAACTTCAACTCCCAGAATTCCTGAGCTGACATGAGTGGAGGAGGAATTCTGGGAGTTGAAATCCACAAGTCTTAAAGCTGTCAAGTTTGAAGACCCCTGCTCTAGTTCAAACCCCTGCTCAAGGCAAGAGATCATATACTATCCCAGTCAAATGGTTGTGCAGTCAATTTTAGAAAACCTCCAGTGATGGAGCAGCCACAACTTTTAGAGGCAAGCCGTTCCATTGCTGAATTGTTGTCACTATCAATACATTTCTCCTTACTTCTAGGTTAGGTCTCTCTTTAATGATCTTCCACCCACTGCTTCTTGTTCTGCCCTCAAATAGTTTGGAGCATAAGTCAATTCCTTCTCCTCTATGGCAACCTCTCAATTACTGGAAGACATCATGTCCCCCTAATCTTTCTCTTTGACAGGCTAGGCATACCTAATTCTTTCAATCATTCATCATATGATTTAGCCTGCATCCCCTTTATCATCTTTGCTGCTCTTCTCTACAGATACAGATTAACAGAGTTGGAAGGGACCTTGTAGGTCATCTAGTCCAACCTCCCGCCCAAGACGGAGACTCTACACCGTTTCTGACAAATGGCAGTCCAGTCTCTTCTTTAAAGCTTCCAGTGATAAAGCTCCCACAACTTCTGAAGACAAGTCGTTCCATTGTTTGATTGTTCTCACTGTCAGAATTTTTTTCCTTATTTCTAGGTTGAATCTTTCCTTGATAAGTTTCCATGCATTATTCCTTGTCTTGCCTTCAGGTGTCTTGGATAATAGCTTGACCCCGTCCTCTCTGTGGCAGCCCCTCAAATACTGGAAGATTGCTATCATGTGTCCCCTGGTCCTTCTCTTCATTAGACTAGCCATGTCCAGTTCCTGCAACCACTCTTCATATGTTTTATCCTCCAGTGCCCTAATTATTCTGGTTGTTTTTCTCTGTACTTTTTCTAGAGTCTCAATATCTTTTTATAATGTGGTGAACAAAACTGGATGCAGTACTCTAGACGTGGTCTTACTAAGGCTTTATAGAGTGGTATTAGTACCTCTCTTGATCTTGCTTGTATCCCTCTGTTAATGCAATTTAGGATTGCACTGACT